AAAGAGTGGTGGGCTTGGGAGAAGAGATTTTTTATATATATGTATCTCTCTCTCTCTCGCTCTCTCTCTCTGTGTATGTACGTGTGTATGTCTGTTGGCTGCTGAAAGCCAGACTTTCTAAACAAACTATTTTTTTTTTAAATATTAAACTTCTCTCTGTGAGCCAAGGTGACACAGGTAACTCGCTCAGGATATAAGTGGTAAAGCAGGTAAAGAAAAATAATTATATGATGCAAATACATTTACCTTTTCAGTCTTAAGTATGTTTAAACTACACATCTTGGCTTCTATAGTCATGTTTATAGTGAAGGGTCCCTCTCAATGCTGCAAGAAAGAAATACAAGGAGGCCACAGTTTTAACAGAACTCAGTCATTTCTGGAAGAATACTTTTTCCAGAGATCTTCACTGTAGTGAGTACAGGCAAGGTCTGCTCCTTCCAGGCTGGTAAAAGTAGGACTATCATGGGGATACTTAAGCATCATGCCAAATCTTACTGCACAGTAACCTGAAGCACACACCACATTTGTATTTGCTTATTTATTTTGACTGTTTTCTTAGCAATGATGAATAAGCTTTTGCTTTAGTAGAGTTGTAGTGTAGTCAGAGAATGGAAAATAGGCACGGTAATAAAATAGAGAAATGACAACAACTGAGCAGATTCTACCGCAATGTTTTGGTTCTGCTCTCGGCATGGTTTGCATAGAAACAGGCTTCTTACTATGTTTTGGGGGGCTTGTCATTAATTTGAAAGAATAAATACATTTTAAAGGTTAATTTGGAGGTGTCACAAAGTCAGAAACTACATGTATCCTGTCCGTTGTTCTGTCTCTAAACGACTAGCTGTTTCTCCTTTTATCATGTTGGTTAGTTGATACAGGCAGAATATTTGCTGAGGTGCTAGAAGTCCTGTTTTAGAAACAGGAACTGCAAAATGACTTTCTTGCACTTCTGCTTATTACACTGAGAAACTTGAGTGCTTGGCAAAACTGGAACAAAGCAGGCCAAAGGAGCAAATAACATGCAGTGAGATTCTGTGTGAAAGCTATGTTAAGAGGAAAGAATATTGAATATGTGATTTTTTTTTTTCGTACCCCTCTCCCCCATCAAGGCCTGCATTGATTTGATAAGTGTGTGTTGCTGTGATCAAGCAAAGTATATCACTATGTTTTTATTGCTTCTTCCCTTGCTTGCCAAAGGGTTCAGTCTCTCACTCTATGCAGGGAATGTTTGGATAGTGTTTAAAGCTTACGATATTTTAAAAAGTTGAGCGTATTGCAGGACTTGAGATCCTGCTCGTTATCTTTCCACGAGTCTTGCTGTGTGTCAGCCTGATGAAAAGGCTTACACGCAGGTTTGCGAAACTTAGGCCTGCCTTTGCAGAACTTTGTTTCAGTAAAACCAAAGCCACGCATCTCTTGCGTTAGACACTTTAAAACGAATGTCACAATTGTCTTGGGAAACAAGAAGAGTTTTGCATTTAAGTGCAGTCTGTTTTCTTTTGGAGCAGGTGTTTTATGTTATGAAACTTCTATTACGATTTCTTCAAACTTAGTTTGGGATGAGGACTTCCTTGTATAAGAGAATTAAGAAAAATATTATAAAGACTTGTGTATCCAATTCAAAAATTATAGTGTCAAAAATGCCTAATCAAAAGGATGGTCTCCGTTTCCTGAATGAGGAACATGGTAAAGCCTTCCTTAAAAGGCTCGGGTGCCAGAAGATACTGCCGTTCTCTATTAGGCTATTTCGCGTTCATATTTACTTGTTTAAGACATCCTTGTAGGGTTGCATTGTGGAAACTTCTCTCAGATGATTTTCCTTCAGTTTGGATGACAACACAGAGGTTCTTAAACAGAATCTTGCCCAAAGTTGATTCAAGCATCTTGCTGATGTCTGTCTGCTTCGGATAGCTAATGCTGGAGTCGGGCCGATACTTTCCCCCTCAAATAAGGGATTCATCTAACTTTGACTTTGACCTCTTTTGTTCTTGTGTGCACGACTTCCCTTCCTACTACTATGATGCTGTCGTGTGCGCTTCCAGCAGAGATGTATTCCCTTTTGCGTCTGCCTGAGCGTTGTGTTTTCCTGCCAGATAACCTGTGTGCCAAAAAAGCAGTCACATCTGGCCTCGCCCTGCATTCCAATGTCGCTCGCCTTGTCGATGGCCATGTAGTCCTAAACGACAAAGGAAAGGAAGATGGAGCTGTAGAGGAAACCGTCTTTAAGCGAGCTCTGGCTGTCCTCCTGTGTGGAACCTACAGGAACCAGTTGCTGAATGTGTTTGTGCGTCCATCTCTAGTGGCGGTTGCCTTGCAAATGACACGCAGCTTCCGAAGAGGTAATTTTGGGTAGCCGTAAGAGTGAAGCCCAGTGACATTGCTCTTCCCGTGGTCCCCAGTGAGAGGAGCGCAAGGCTCCTGCAGCTGTTTGTGGGAGCTCCCTCCAAGTATTCAGCAGCATGCTGAATGATGTCTGCTCACGTAAGGTGGATGTGGTGTGTGGGGGGGTGTATTTTTGTTGCGTACTTTATTTGTTTACTCTTTGATGCTTTTGGAAATAAGTATATTCCACTGAGAGGGCAGAGTTCAGAGCTGATCTCGAATGCTGTTTACAGTGATCTGGAATACAAAGTTAATACGGTTTAGAACTGGATGCCTCGGAGTGTTGGTGTTGCTTCCCTTGCAGTGGGCATTGTGGAACTGTCAGAGAGTGAAATAGCCCCAAAAGTGGCATCAATCACCTTTTACATGTCAGATCCGTTAAGTGGAACTATGTTTGGAAGTGTCTCCTGTCTCTCTAACAAGGTTTCATTTTACAGGCGTGTAGAATGACTTGCAGTGGATAAGTGTCTTGTCTTGTTGGTGATTAGTAGGCCCACATTATAGGTTACAAATCGCACACAGTTCTCATGGGCATGGAGTGCAGCTAGCTCCCAGTCTTTCTGCTTCTTCCCACTACTGTTCCTGAAGTATTTTGATGTTTTCTAGTACTTGGTTGTTTAAAATAAACTTCTCAGAATATATACCTTAATTTTGTGTGGCATCCGATTATATGGTATTTAATACATGTCCTGAGAAGCTACGTACCCACTTCCTGATTTCCCTCCTTTTAGGAGCAATTGAATCAAGTACTTGGAGTACTCGCTGTCCCACTGTGGCAGTTTCTGGTGTATATTTATGTATGCTTTAAGGTTAAGTCCAGATTTTATTTTTGGAGTAGGTAACACCTCTAAAATCAGGAGCAAGTGGCTTTTAACTTATTTACTGTATAACATGTTTTTAAATGACAGTACTCTACAATAATTTTTTTCAGAGGAAGTCTATAGCTGCTTCAGCTTCTTGAGAGATGTTTTTTCTGATGAGTTCATCTTCTTTCCTGGTATTTCATTGAAGGTAAAATCATCCTTTGTACATAAATACTGATAGTTCTTAACCAACTAAAGCAACATCTAATTTCAGGACTCTCCCTAACGAGTGCTTTGTGATAAATATTTCCGGAGATATCAGCTTGATCTGTAAGCGGGAGGGAGAACTTAAAAGGGGGACGGAGTGGAGGTCAGTCATTTGTTTAGTTACAAACCATTGTCTGAATCCACAAGGTTGCATGTGTGTTTTTCTCTCTCCTTCCCTCCCCCCATCCAATTAAAAAAAAAAAAAGTCTAAAATTGCACAATTCTGAGCTATTTAACAAGAACTGTAGCACAAGTGTGACTTTTTTGTTTTGGCATAAAACTACCAGTTTTTCAGCATGGATGGAAAGATACGTGTAGAAAAATCTTTAAAATGAAGTGTAAAGGCTGTCCTGTTCTTCTGTGGTTGTGAAAGACCTTAGGCTGTGAAGAAAAAAGTGTTAATGTAGCTCTTGTAACTGAATTCTAGCAAAGAACAGGTATGTTCAGACAACACAAAAGCAAAATAGGAATCCTCTTTGAGGGCAGAAGCAGGATAAGTTTACCTAAAAGCTGTTGCAGAGTAGGTAGCAAAGAGGCTCTACAATAGGAACGACTTTCCAAAAGTTAAACTAAATTTATTGTACCAATTAATAATCCTCTGTTGTGCGTCTTTATCTTTGACAAATAATGTATTTTTCTCAATGTAAGTTCATATTGTCCTCTAGGTAATTACAGTCCTATTAGTGCAGCCATGATTAGTTGTTTTGTAGAGCTCCATATGTATACTCTGGCATGGCAGGGCTAACAGAGCATTCTGCCAACACCCAGTGCCTCATATGTTGAAGGACATCTCTCCACTCACCCCTCCTTCAATCCACAGCGTGGCTGCGTTTAACTCTGTAGTGTGTATACAGTGCCTAAGGTTCTGCTAATATCTTGATTTCTGAAGGCTTCAATATTCCTGTGCATAAGTAAACTTTTTTTATGTATAAAATCGTGATGGCTGTGGTCTAGCCAGCTTGAAAGGCAGGTGAGCACAAGTTTGGCAGTAAAAAAAAGTCACGGTCATACCCAATATTAACTGGTAAGTCTAGGTTTTTATTTGGATTTTAAACTGATTAAATATGGTTTTTTATCAAATACTATGGCCAAATATATGGTGATGGTATTCAAATGTCACTTCCACTGTATAAACAAAGAGATAAGAATAATTTTCATAAGACTATTCAAGGCTTTTGACTATATTAATATCTCAAGGATTTTTATATAGAAGAGAATTGGGACTTTTTAAAAGGCTGACTAGCAGAGTCGCTGATCTGAAAAATCACATTTAGTTTTCATGGTCAGCAATTGTTGCCTCTTGTAGCCTTTTTTCTTTGTAAGTACCAAAAACCAAATAGGGAACAGGGAGGTGACGGTGACTGACTTCTCTGGAATCAAATGAAGGAGTTGCTAAGTTACTTCAGGAAGAGATCTCCAACCCCCTTTCCTCTACTCTTCCCCCCAGCTATTGGCAGAAAAAAAGGTTTTGTCACAGACAGTGCTGTAAGTTTTGGCCATTGTGTTGCCCCTTAATGCAGGCAGGAGGTCAGTCAACTATGTTATCGTTAATCACAACCAGTGGACATGAGATAAAAGCAAACCCTGGCCGGAAAAAAAAAAAAAAAACCCAACTCTCAAACCAGACAATCTGCCTTTTTCTGGCAAAATCCTGCGGGAGCTCAGGCTGGCTGTTAAAATAGCAGCCATGACATCTTTCCTTGGCCCTAGAAGGCCTGTTGTGCATCTAGCTGCATCTGTGTTTGCAAACGCATTCCCGCTGCCTTTTTAGAAGTGTATTTCTGGTATATAGGAAAATGTTGGTTCAGGTCTCTAAAGACCTGATTTCAGAAATGGAAGGAGTGTCATGTTGTGTGTCATTTTTTCACGGGGAAAAGGTAGCTGTGCCTGCTGTAGATGTTAAAATATCAGTTACGCTTCCTTCTCCCAGGATTTTGAAGAAGGATGTTTTCTACTCACAAAATGTGATGCAATTCAAACAACTCAACAGGAAATCTACCCTACTGACAAAGGAAGCGTTGTACTATCTTTCTTGTCGGCTATGTTCAGACCTTTTTTGGAAGGTTATCAGGTATGTCGTTCTTCAGAAAATTGTCGTCTTTTTCTTTCCTGTGTTTTATAGGAAAACCATGAGAGTGGTGATTCTTCCGCAGCATAAAGAGAGAGTGTTTTCATGGTTAGGGAGCGCAGGAGTTGAGAAATAGCAGTTAAAAGTATCTTAAACACCACCCTTCCTCCAGGATCCTGATTTCAACTTCTGTCTCAGACCTTTCAAAATGACCAAAGCAGTAAACTACCTTGTAATGCAGTGGCCCGTTGTGGGTATATAAGCTGCACAGGGAGGGTGCTGCATCCAGGTTTATATTTTATTTCTTTAGGAGGAGTTCTTCCTTAAGTCATTTTATGTGGGCTGTCCTGCCAGGTGCAGAAATTTGTTTGCGTCTTATATCTGATAGCCTTTTAGGGAGTTCTTAATTCCATTAGTATCTGTTTTTAATTTTTTGGCTTTCTCCACGGATTTAGTAAGACTAAACCCTGTGCTTCTGAAATAAATAGTATATGCAGCATTAGGAGGCTAAGTTCTCCCAACAGCATATCGTTGGGAACGTAGGTATCTGAACCTAGTGGATGAGAGAACTGTTAATGACCTGGGATATGACTTAGGCTGAACTGTACTATTTGCCCAGTTTTTCCCATCTGTAAAACATGTATTGCTTTAAAAAGATACTGGTTTTGATTGTGAGAACAGGGATGTTAAATCAGTGTCTATGACAACTATTACAGAAATACTGAATCTTACTGTAGTATTGGAGTTCTCAAGATTGCCCATTAATCAGTAATAAAAATTTCAGGTGCTCTGTGTAACGTTACCTTTGAGCCCATCTCCTACACTTTTCAAAGTGTAACAATAATGTTATTTCCTTATGAGGACATATTTGTTTGTAATAACAAGTTGACCATGAAAAGGAAGAAGTGTTAATTTTTTAAAAATGTTAGTTAATTTTCAGATACCTCTCAAAAGAAGCAAAAGAAGCCTTTACTGAGAAGCAGTTTATACCTGGAGTCCGCAACTTTGTTTTTCAGCTTCTTGAGAAGGGTGTGTACAGCTGTTATGTAATATGATGTTGATCACATCGATATCACTGTTGATGGGCAGTGATAAAGCTTTTAATTGTGTTTCTGCTTTCTCTGTAGGGAATACTGAATGTTATGAAGCGTTGTCTTCTGACACCCAGAAGAACGCCTTGGCAGCTCTTGTGCAACTAGGTGCAGTGAAGAAGAAGAAAATGTAAATAACATTGGCTTTTTGGTGCACAAAAGACCATGTGTGGTCTTACTGGAAATTGTTAACGATTGAGCTATAAGTATTAAGTGGTATACCTTAACTCGGATTTCTTGAACGCCAGTCAACTGATGATGGATTAGATTTACCTGAGCCACAGTGAAGACCTGGGGAGCTGCTTTCTATACGTGTTGTAGAGGCAGAACGGCAGAAGGGCCCACCCCTTACAGCGTAAACAGTCCTGTGGGACCCAGCGACAAATTTTATTAACCCACTAGTAGGCTTCTTGTTCTTTTGACGCCGCATGCTTTATATTTTGGTTTTCAGAGTTTCTCCCAAGGCTTTGATAAGCAAATAGAGGAGGGTTCTGCTTATTTTTCCCATGTATTATTCTGTGCATTATAATAAGCATTTGGAAGGAATATAAATGTTAATTGGGAATATTGATACTTGGGGGGAGGGGTGGGCATTAACATCTCAAATTAATTTAACTGAAGGCTTTTGTCTTTCAACACTGTTTAGAGGGGATTGACCTAAGATTAAAAAACAGCTATTGCAGTACAGAAATACGACGGCATACATTTCACGTAACCAATTTTGTGTGTGTTGCGGAGCTGACTATACTGAGGGGCGTAACTATGGTAGACCCTGCTAGTCTACTATGGTAGGCCCCACAAGGACCCGTATTGTCTTGACTGCTTCACAGAACTTGACTGGCAGACAGTAGCCTTGACCTATTTTCTTATTTCTGGTTAAGGTTTGTAGTGCTCTTGGAGAGCACACAGACAGTACTGTTGTTGGTATGTCCCCTGCTTTGTCATTGTGCTAAATAAATGTCTATAGCTAAATTCCCCTTTCGAGTAAATGGAATAAAGCAGCTGAGTGTACCTGATTTTGACATCAGCTGAAGATTTGGCTCAGTTTTACAGAGATAGTCTTGGCAATTATTCAGATGAAAGTAAGCGGACAAAACTTTTCTTCCTGCAGTTGTCACTAATAATAAAAACTAAGGGAAGAGAGAGGCAGGGAGTCTGAGCAAGAGGGAAGAAAAAGAAACCTTCACCAGCCTTGAGTACAATCCATTTAAAATCCGTGCAAAAGGCTGTCATGCTGAAGTTGGCCCTTTAAATTGATACAGATGCTGGTAGGATGAAAAATTTGATGAAACCGAATATATTTTATTCAGATTATGCAGAAATGAATGAATTAAGAAATACTCCTTGAATAAACTTTTTTTTTTTTAAACTCTAGGACCAATGGACTCACTTACAGTGTAAATCAAGAAGCTGTTAATAACGTTCTGGACATGTTTGGTAAGTGTTTTGAATGATCTCTAACTCTTTTAAAGAGTTTCTCAGTTTCTAAATTAAGTTGGACAATGAAAATACATCAGAAGTTGTGTGTTTTTCTAGTATCTCCTTAAAGTTATCAGTATGAAAATACTGATGGTCTCTGAATGAAAGTTGGGGTTTTTTTGAATACTTTTCCCTGTGCAGTTGACTATCCCTTCTTTATTATATTGCAAACATTTTGCAACCCAGTGACCAAAGAAAATAAGGCAAGAAGTGGTTTAACGAAATGCTATTTACGGTGTTTTAACGCTGCATAGTAAGTGTTGACTTTTTGTTAGGCTCTAGGGTCCCTGCACAGAAACCTGTGGCCGCAAGACTGTAAGGGGTCTGTGGTGCCGGGACTGTGGCCGTAACCGTCTGCTGAGAACACAGGACAACAGCCAGCGCGGAGGGACAGCGGTGAAAATCACGCCTCAGCCTTGGGTTTGGGAGCTGTCAGCATGTAAGCGCGCGCCAGGCAGGAGAGGCGGGGACGCGTGGCCCAAAGGTGTTCTTCAGCTGGAGCGTTTTCCGTTGCCACTTAAAAACTGTCACTGCTGCTGATGGTTAAACTTACATTTGTACCCTGGCTGTGTGGTTTTTTTTTTTTTTTTTAAAACAGATTAAACATTGTCTTTTTTGGGATACATTTAAAGAGAAGCGCACAGTAACCGTTACTGAAATACTTTTTTTAGGGGTGTAACAAGGAATGTGATTGGTTTCAAGTATGTCATGGACGTGAGACTATAACAGGGAGTTAAAAGACTTAACATTAAAATTAACGTTTAGGAAAAATATGTTGCTGGCTGCCTGTATGTAAGATAAGGCCCCTGTGAAAGACGAGCACAAAACAAATTCCGGGCAATAACCAGAAATGCTAATTGTGTATTTGCGTGCTTTTTTTTTTTTTTTCTTCCCAAGCAACTGGCATTGTTTTAATTACTTCATAAATGTGGTTATAAAAACGGAGTTAAAGCGCGGCGCCTTCACGTGTGGTGGTTTCCCCGCGCCAGGCGGCGGCCGCGGCTGCTCTGGCCCCCGCGGGGCCGGGGGGGG